GTTCGAGGCAGCGTGTCCGCAGGCAGAGGTTCGCCCGGGATTGCCGCAGCTGCTGGCGGGAAGGTGGACAAAGCACAAATGAACTGAGTTCTGTCCGTTCTCAGCCCGCAGCTTCCCTAGGAGGGCTCGACTGCAGGAGGGAGGATTTTGGGGGGCTGTAGACCCTCCAAGGAGGTCAGCAAGCCCTCCAGAAAGTGCCCCATGCTGCCTTCATGAACGCCAGGCAATGCCCACTCTCCCTTCGTAGGGTAAAGCACTGAGCCGAAACACCAGCGTGTCCCGTCTCCCGAGCTGGGAGCAGCCCCCACTTCTCAGCTGCAAGGGGGATTTTCCTCCCAGCCCAGCCAGGAGCCGACTGGTGCCTGCTCCTTGTCCATGAGATCCAGGGGCAGGAAGGTCAAGACTTTTCCTTGAGGTGGGAAAAGGAAGGGAAAGGAGGAGGTGACCAGGGATGCTGGGGGTGAGCAGAAGCACCAGGAGTCAGGAGATGCAACGGATGGAGGACGGACGCATCACCCTGTGTCCCGCCAGCCACGGGGATGGGGTCTAGCTTGTAAAAACCCCAAACCCAATGGCACAGAGCCATCCACAGCCCCCCTGGGGACACCTCGAAACTAAACCTTTGGGGTCCACAGATGAAGAAGCTCAAGCCCGGGCTGCAGCTCTGCCGGCGGGGACTCAGGTTGCCTCCCAGCAGATGCAGCAACTGCCCAGGGCTGGATCAGGCCTTCATACTGCATTTAAAAACCCAAACCGAGCCCAAAGTCCACACGGGCGCACCAGAGGGGATCTAGCACTGGGGCGGGAGGGACGAGCAGGGCTGCACAGCTTCACCCGAAGGCTTCACCACGCAGGGGTGCCCGGATGCAGCGTGCCTGTTAGCAAACGTCCACCATCAATTATTGATGCCTGCTGCTTTCTGGTCCCATTTTCCACCTACATAATTTATAGGCAGCTTCCCAGGGAAGGACGCGGCCACGTGAAAAAAAAAAAAACAACCCAAGAGCAAAGTGCCTTCAGAGCCACCTGCAGTGACATGGCTGGGGGAAAACGGGGCCGTCTGGAGCTTTTCCTGGCACCAACTTAAGGCAAAAGCAGGAGATGGGGGGAAAAATGGTATTTAAACCTGCAGAGAAGCTTCCCCAGCATTGGGGAAAAGCTGGAAAAAGCAGCACAGGGTCTCTGCAATGGCCCCAGCTGCGGTTTGGTGGGTGCTGGCAGCCTCCATAGGATGGGCAGAGGAGTCAAGGACCACTTCCCCGGGAAGGTCCTCAAAAACCTTGCCATTAAACGAGAGCCTCGAGTCATGCCGGGCTCTGCCCCACGAAGCACCAGCACCGGAAAGTCTGGGGCATCGAAAAACAGCCAGGTACCGGTGCCCCCGTGGCATGGACGGGTCGCAGAGGAAAGAAGCACCTTTCCAGTCACAGCCGCCTTATTATCAGCTAATTATAAATCCTTAACCAACACCTGCCCCCGGGGAAGGAAAGCTCGTCAAGGACGGTCACATCCCGAGGGAAAGCCGGGTTTTAACCAGATCTTAAACATCAGAGGCCTGGCAGGTGTGTGGGAAGGGCTGAACCGAGCGGCTGCTGGAAAGGAGGAATAAAACCAAATTGCCCAATGTTCCTGGCAAAGGAAGGTGAGTCCTGCATGCCCGCCAGCACTGACGTGCAGGACGTATCCAGCATCAGCCAGTACCAATGACACTGTCAGCCCCTTTTCTCCGCAAGTTCCAGGGATGCCACCTTGCCCGGATGCCCTGGGATGGGCGAGAACCCCGAGAGCACAGACCCTGGTGCGGGCTGTGGCCATGCCCGTGGCTCTGACACATGGTGGCTCACGTCCTGCATCATCCCCCAAGCCACTGCTGCCCTGCCGGGGTCTGGCTCGGCTCTGGTAAAGCAGCCCTGGCTCTCAAAGGTCAGAGCCCAGATGTTTCAGCAGGTTCACAGCCCCGCTCTCCAGAGTGGCTAAAATAGAAAAAGCTCATTTTCCACCCATCCGCACGCTCCCGGTGAGGGAAGTGCCAGGTTGTGGTCACGTCAGTGGCCATGGCATGGTGCTGGTGCAGGGTGCGGGGACACACCGTGGCAGTGGGCACAGCACCAGCTGGGTGAAGCCCAGCCAGTTAAATGGCACCTTGTGCTTCTGCCTGCAGCATCCCATGGCCGCCTGGTGAGCAGGCACGCTGCGGCTTATTTAATTCAGTGCTCTAAAGTGGGCAGCCAGAGCCAGGCTTAGCCAAAATCCGGCCACAGCGCTGCTGCGTCAGCTCTCGCCTGCTGCAGCCCTGGGAGCCCCTGGGCTGTTCCCTGTGCCACGGCAGTGCCACCACTGTGGGGCTGTGCCCCCAAGATTGGGGATGTCACTGCCCAGTTATACCCTTTGCACCTGTTCCCAGCCAGAGCCCTGCTCGCAGTCCCCCCTCCCGCACACCCGGGGGGAGCTCGGTGCCGGCCTCAGCCAGGGACAGGGGCTGAAAGCCGAGGATTTGCCACAACAGCCATCCCATAGCCAGGCTCCATAAACAGCCCCTGCTTGCTCTCCCCTCCCATCGCCTTTGCCAGGGTGAGATTAGAGCCACTGAAGTAAATCCCAGCGTTCACCTCAAAATACTGGTTTAACTAATCGCGTTGCACCTTGCCTGGAGAGGACGGGATCCCAGCACGGGACGGGGAGACATTTCACTGGCAAGTGGGACAAGACGTGGCCACCCCATTCCCATGGGCTGCACTGGGCACCCCGAGCAAGCCTGCAGCCCAACAGCCAAAACCACGTCTGCAGGGAGAGGGAATTGCCCCAGGATCCCATGAGACCCCTCCCAGGGCCACATTTCCAAAGCCAGTGGCTGTTTCCAAGTGGCATTCGAGGTGAGAGAAGCGCTGCTGTCACAGAGGAATTGGCTCCACTGCTCAGCACGTCCTCATCCTCCCCTGCTTCCCTCTCGGCTGCCAGCAGCGCTGAAGGCAAATCCCCTCTCGGATTAAAAGCAAACCAGCCATAATCTCCCGCAGTCACCAGCCTGCCCTCGTCCTGGCACAGATTGCCATGTCACCTGGGCACCCCCTGCCCCTCTTCCTGAGGACCCCAGGCAGCACCAGGACTGTCCCCTTAGCTCTGACCAGGTCCCACGGGTGGGACCAGCCCAGCTGAACACATCTACACAGCTCTGATTTTTCCCTGAAAACCAGAGTTTGGCATTAGCCTGGTGTCCTCTGCCAGCTGGGATGAGTTTGGCAGTGCTCAGCTGGGTGCACTTGCTCCCCCAGAGCAGGGCACAGTACTGGCACCCTCCACCCCTTCATGCCCAGATATTTCAAGAGCCCCTAAATAAGAAGGGGTCCCAAGACAAAACCCCCTAAAGCACAGAGCCGCTGCCCGTGCAAAGCGCAAACCAACGGATGGGGTGGTCCAGCTTCGGCTGGCATCAAGGTGACAAAGGCCTTGAAACTGTGGAAAAAAGAGGGAGCTGGGGGAGCCCCGCAGGACGATGGGCTGCTGAGGATCGGCCACCCCCAGCCCGCAGCACCCCGGTTAACCCTCGCCACTGCAGATGTATCAGACAGCTGTGCAGCCCATTTTAGATTAAAATTAAAAAAAAAAACCAACACAGCTTTTCAGGACAAGAGCAGGGTTTGTGTTGGCTGTAATTCTTCTTAAGGAGGTCTTTATTTGTAATTAGTGGGCAATTTGTCACAGCACTAACGAACCAAGCGTTTACTTTATCCAACAAACTACCAAAATAGTTCAACCTATTAATAATATCCAGTGCCGCAAGGATCCTGGGGCAGTCCCTGTGCACACACACGGTGCTCCCGGCCATCGTCCCCTGACATTGGTATTTTTGGGGCTCTGAAGCGATATCCACCCAAGGTCTCCACTCCATCGTGACCCCCACATAGCCCCCCTCGGACACCCGCTTAGCCCAGCTCTTTGCAGGGAAAACCAAGGCATGGAGAGGAGGGACAGATTTTCCAAGGTCACACACAAGGTTTCAGACAGGGCCGGATTTGGGAGCAGGAGAGACATCACCGGCGAGCCTCGAGGCTGGGCGAGGAGCTGGGGAAGGTGAAGTCCCCCCATGGCAGAGGCTGGGGTGCTGCTGTGGGGCAGGGCCCCGGGAAGGAGGGATCCCCTCCAATCCCTCCCACCCCAGCCTCCCTCATCCTCCCGGGAATTCGAACCCAGGCT